CCAGTGCACCTTATGTATGAAAATAGACGAGAGAATTCAACATTATTGATATTGCACTTTATAATCCAGTGCACCTTATAGTCCAAAAAATAGGTATTTTTAGGTAATACTTCAGCTGTCAATGCTTCCCTCCATTGGATGGGTCAAATGCAGTGATCAAATTTCCCTACGCGGAACAGATTTTGCATTTTATATCAAAGACCGTTGTGCTTTATCATTGTATATATGTTGCAGTTGCACAAAGAGTACACGGGGTAGAGATGTGGCTGGTTATAAGCATTCTATATAACATTTTATTAAAGAGATTCAGTTTCCTTTAGAAGTGTTTAGAAGTGATATTTTCATTCAAAGTGTACATTTTGACTAGACAAAGTGGTACATTAATTGAAGATTTCCCCAGATATCTGAAAATGTAGCTGATATCTGTCATGTCTGTGTGCTGTGTGAGTCCCAGTGTGTCCTCAGAGCGTCAGATCGGTCTTCTGAGGCAGACTAAATGAGCGAATTTGAGGGTATCATTAGAACTGTACTGTAAAGCAGGGTTCCCCAGTCCCCAGGCTGGGCACTGGTACTGGGCCGTGGGTCGTTTGCTATCAGGCAGCGAAAGCGCAAACCCCCCCGCATGAACCTTGCCCCACTCCCATATGCCATGCAGCCCGTCCCCCCTCCCATATGTTGCGCGGGTGGCACCTCTAATCCAGAACTAAACCAGAACTAAACCAGGTCTAAACCAGGGCTAAACCATGTCTAAAAATGATCTGTGAAATACTGTCGGAAGGTTGGGGACCACTGCATTAAAGAGTATCATCTGAATCCATACAAGTGTTCTTCTTTTTGTAGCACTGCGTGGTTTGACTGAATTTGACTAAGTTTGACTTAACCCACATTTACATGAGAACCTAAAGAACTAATTCTGATTCCTCTTCTTCCCTTTTCACTTAATTCCACCCAGCCTCTAAGCGCTCCTAAACCGCACTTTTTTGTGGTGGCACTTCTGGTTAAACAGGAATCCCATTCATGTCAAAGGTGAATTTGAGAAAGGTTTTGCATTTTAAATGACATAAACTCGGTTCATTTGTGTCAAATGTTCAGTGTTTATGTGCACTAACAAGTCACACTGCACTGACTCGCTGCAGGCTTTAAAACGGCTTTATCATCCGTTTGAACTTATTTGCTGTTAGGATCAGCAGCCCCACAGAAAATAATACAACCAAAATAATGACGGCAGCACTACGGTAACTTCTGGAATAAAGTGGTGTAATAACCTGGAGAGGAACCTTAGTGGTACAAGAAGAACAGAGTAGAGTTGAGCCGATTTATAGTGCAGATCCCAAGTGTATTTAGTCAAGAACCAAACAAAAATCTAAAAAATATTTACAAAAGTACAAAGTTAAAAACAGGCATGAGCTCACACAGCACCTTCTCCTAGCCCTCATGCTCTCCTCGGGGTCACATTCACCCGAAGAATTTTTTTTTCCCTTCCCGCTCTCTTGGGGAGGGTCAATCAGACCCAAAAATTAATTTTCTCACCTTTTCTCACCTGGCGAGAAAACAATTTTTTGGGCATTATGGATTGGGATGGGGCTCGGGTCACTGGATCAGAAAACAACAAGTTTAAACGCTGGACCAAGGAGGCCACTGAAATCAGGAAACGAGGCACAGACAGCATTAACCGTGATGACGGAGCGTTCCTCCTTTCACACACCTGGGACACCCCCCTCCAGAAGAGAACATCGGGCGACGGGAGGCGTGGTCAGTCTGAGCGACTTGCCAGGTCCATCAGGCTGACCACGCCTACAGGAAGTAACAACAGCTGATATACGACACGTCACCACCAACACCGGGGACAGTTCTGAAGATGCAGCAGCCGAAACACGTCAACAAGGTAAATACACTTTATAGTATTGTCTTTAAAAGAACCTAAGAAGATAAAATTTTTGGGTTTCCTGGAGAGCATGAGGGCTAGACAGGGGTGAAGCTGGCTCCTTTTATAGGCCACCTCCTTTAATTGGGTGAGCTCATCTTAAAGTGCAGGTACGTTCAAACTATTTACATTCAATATTTAAAAAGTTAGATATCAAAACAGTGCTCTAGATATTCAATTACATCAAGTACAAAAATATATCTGTTTATTCAATTAGCAGTGTCTTATTATTCATTTAAAAATACTAAATAGAAAAGTTAAAATATCTGTGCTCCCCTCCTCCTAACAAAATATTTGCCTGCCCTGGAACATTACAGTTACTTCAATTTAAATGCACTTATTTTACTTATTTCATTTTCTTTTACAGGTCACTTTACTGCACAACAATTTTCAATCAATATTCAGTAAACATTTTAAAACTTTGCTTCTGGAGTTACAAGCTACGGTACAGGTGGAATTGCAAATCTTTCGCACTCATATTTTTAGTGACCAAACATTTTCCTAAATCTTTGAAAAGGCTATGACAAGTGCTACTATTTATTTCTATTCTGTTACTATCACTATTTCCTTCTTCATCACAGACTCACCTGATCTTAAAATCAAACTAAAGCATTCAAAATAAGAGAATTACTTACAAACACCTTTAAAACATGTAGCAAAGCAGCACTTTTGCAGAGTAACGCTGCAGTAAAGTGTGCCGCACAGGTAGCCTCGTGAATGACCAGAATGTGTGTCAATGCATTTTTTATGCTCGGCCCTATTTTATTCCAGCTATTCATTATTTATTGCTTTATGTTGCATCACATCACCGAAACAGATTCCTTGTTTCAATTTGTTCATGTTTTGTCAATAATTATCAAAGTATATTATATAAGTATAGAGTATAACCTTGAGAATTCTAGAGTGAGAATGTGATGGTTTAAAACAGGGGTGTCAAACATACGGCCCAGGGGCTGGATCCGGCCCTCCAAGACCTTTAATTTGGTCCTCAGCTGATTTTCTACTAAAATATTTAAATTATATTTTATATTAAAATATTGGTAATTTTCTGCATCTCTTATCACAGCAGCGTCTCCAGCGCCTCTGTACGTGGCCCCTCCCACCAGAGCAGCACAAATGAAGACTTGTCTCTTTCCAAACGCTCTTAAAGGACAATCGTTTTGACTGTTGACCGTGACACCCTCATCAGCAAAATGTCTTATTTTTCTTCTTATTTTATTTATTTGTAAAGGAACAGTACATATTAATGAACATTAAAAATGTAAATATGTAAAGATTCTAGCCAACGTGGGTAATTTCCATCTTCAGTCCCTCGGCAGGTTGATGTAAAATCATCTATAGGACGAGGAAAAGTACAGCAACAATCACACAAAAGTACACAACACCAGCACACTCACTATATGTACAACACACTCACTGTACATACAATTAATTTCAAACAGTTCATTTAAAGTTAAAAATGTCAAAAATGAGAAAAGTGGAGCCGAGTGCAGGATTTTCCAAGAAAAATTGACTTATTCCTATTTACATACAAGTTCATGTTAAAACATTGTGTTGAAATTGCATTTATCTTGAAGTTTCAGGTTGTTCAATAATATTATCATATTTTGTAAAAAAAAAAAAAGAGTTCATCAATTAAAAAAGATTTCTGTAATAGATTTGCATTTCTCTGCACAAATATTTAAACTTTAAAAAAAAAACTTTCAAAAGATTCCAACTAAATTTGCTTTTTGTATGATGCGGAATAAGGTTTTAAAAAGTATTGAAAATCAGATACTAAAACTAGGATCGATGCTAGATACAGATAAACAAGTTCCACTGACAGAAAAGAAATGAACCTTTCCTGAATGTCTTGAGATGTATCAGAACTACTATAACCACTATGAAACCTTCCTCGACCACTGAGGATTACACACGTAATACCACATGGGAATAGAAAAGAAAGTACTATGATTTAATGCTGAAAATCACATTCTATTGTCTACAGAAAGAGTGTACTGAGTATTGAGTAGATTCTTTAGCATCTAAATTGGCGACAAGTGTGGGCACTTAATACACAATATTTGAATTTAATCCATTTATTGTTTTTTTTATGCAGCTGATAAACTGGACCTGAGTACAGTGATTCATTTCTGTGAATTTTTTATACTGAAATGACTAAGAAATTCTAATTCTGTTTGTACAGTTGCAGCACGAATCATGGAAATACAGGGTGTGACAAAACATTAGACATCATTTTGCAGAATCGCAGGCCAATAGTTTTAGCAATTCTTGGAATCTGCTCGTACACAGTCACCTAAAACATATGTGTGTGAGCGTATTTCAAAATGCAAAATGATTTGTGTTTAGGAGTGAACAGCGAGGCTCAACCTAAAAACAGAACAAAAATAAAACATTAAATATAAAAGCTTGATCTGTTTCTGTACATTCTGTGAAAATTTGAGGTTATTTCAACAAGAATTTATTTATTTTAATTTCAAAGACACAATGTAATATACAATGGTATAAACAAAAACATTACTAGAGTCTTAAGAGTTGATATGTTCACAGGGCTCAATATGCGCAACATCTTCATTAATAACCCATATGCAGCACAGTGAAAATATATTGATAAACATGTACAAATGTAGAAAAATAAATAAATACATGCATACTATGTGCTTTTGTCTTCAAGGATTTGTGCAATAATTAAGATAATTTATATAAGAGGACAAGAGGGACTGAAACACAACAAATTTGGGTTTCTGACTAGAAAATTTACAGCAATGGATATGAAACTTTGATATTTCAACAAGAATTGACGAAATTATTGGCCTGCGAAATGATTTCAAATGTTTTGGGGCACCCTGTATAATAAAAACCTTTCTTCTTTCGTTCCTGCTTGAAACGCTGCAGCTTCTTTTGTGTAAACCTTATATTTCGCATTCATCCAGAGAGAGTGCGCGCTCTGTCTCCGCTGGCCCATCCCCGCCTCCCTCCGCGGCTCCTCGTCGAGCCCAGGCGCTTCATTAGCATAAAATGTGTGTCAGTAGGGCAGCTCGCGCTCACATGCCATGCGCACATGCTCTGAAGCTTTCAGGCAGCATTCCACTGTCGGACCAGCTCAGTGCTCGGTCTCCACGCGGCTCTCCCGTCCAATCGCAGCCCGGGAAGTCAGAAAAAACGCGGCGTGGGGGTGTGTGGAGGGGGGCAAAGAGGTGGATGAAGTGTTCAGAGCGTGACAGAGAGAGAGAGAGAGAGAGAAAGAGAGAGAGAGCAAACAGATAGACATCAACAAATAGGCGGTTAAAAGGACGCATAGAAAGACAAGGGGGAAAAAAACGGTCACATTTTCTAAGCACCTGAAAACGTGCGCGCTATTTTCGGACTCGTGTCTCTTATTGATGACGGGGGTGTGTTTAAACTACTTCCACCGTTGTCATGTTTTGGTGGTGACTGTACATGGCAAGCAGCTGTACGCCTCGGGTCCTCTTGTAATCTAGAGAGAAGCCCCTTTAAAGCATTTTACACGGGTTGCCAAATTGCGCGCAACACCCATCTCTTTGACTCCTAGGAGACAATTTGGACTTGCGTTAACATCCACTCTTTTCTTTCGGGTTTTTGTTGGGGTTTTTTTTGCGTTTGACCGGATTTTGTCAAGACCCCTCCAATGCCCTGCGCACAACGTTACTCCCGCTTTTTGGACACTTTCTCCCCGCCTTGGCAGTTCGCGATTCTTTCACCTGTTTCGACCAAACTCCTCGGTGTCAAGCAGAGGAAGCAAGTCTAGAAAAAAAAAAAAAAAACATCTACGCACTGAAATCGCCCTGCAATTAACCAAGAACGTCCTGCAGCTGAGCAGAACCAAAAGATCATGGACAACAGCCCCGGAGGTGGTAAGTGGACCCCAATTCATTAACCTACATAAATATTCAAGCATTGCACAGTGAAATGTATTGAAATGTGATGTTGCTTAGTGGGGCAGGTGCCAATATAGCCACAGTTAAATAGGCTATAGTTGACTGGCGCAATCATTGGTCATATTACGCACAGTTTTATATTTGGAACAGGTCGCAATTTTGGCACATGCAATATTATTTTAAATATTATTTGGAGTAGTTGTTGTCATTTAAATGTGCATTGTGCAATAATTTGGATTAATGTTGTATATATGCAGCTACTTGTGAACAGATCGCCTTTTACGCACAATTTTACGCATAAAAATATTGTTTTAAATGGCATTGTTTAGGGTAGCTGGTGTCATTTATTTGTGCACTGTACAATAACTTGGATTAATGTTATATGTATGCAGCTCCTTGTGATTTTATATTCGGAAGAGGTCGCCTTTTACGCACAAGAAATATTGTTTCAAATGGCATTGTTTGGAGTAGTTGGTGTCATTTAAATGTGCACTGTGCAGTCACTTTGCTTGGTGTGACATGTTTGCAGTTCGTTTCTTTTCACACACACAAGCTAAAGGTGTTAAAAAGTTGCAAAGTGTTTCATTTTGCGTTTGATTTGTACGTCAGTTGGCGTGATTGCCTGAGACGCAACTGTGTTAATTGTGTTACGATGTCACGTCTCCAAACGCGTTTTCAAGGTGTCAGTAGGAACTCCCCTCCTCTTCAGGCAGCCTATAGACATACAGTCCCATGTACATTCAGTTCATGTAAACAGACTCACGTGAAGAGGAGACCGAGTCCTAGAATGCCCTCTTGCTCTGGGCACGTTTTGCCACCCCCAGCTTTTAATGTAGCCTATATTTTATACTGTACGCACGTGTTTGTTTTGGATAGAGTTCGTGGCACACCTAAAGTAGTAAAGTTCTACGATGCATGACAGGCACATGTTTTAATATTGGGTAACTGCATACTTATTGGACAAGCTTGATGAACTTGGCATTGGAGTTAAAGCATACAGTACACGCCCACACAGTCAAAACAAGCGCTGGTGCCAACTGTTGCGGACTTGGAGTGCAGAGCAGCGCAGTTGAAAATACGCCCTTTTAAACTTTGATGGAGGATTCCAGCGAAAGACTTGAATGAATGGTTCCTCCAAACATTTCCCGTTAGCTCCATGACTCACGCGCCCACTTTGCGCCTGTAAACAGCACTTATGCGCCCTGACCTACCGCAGAGGTGGCTTACATTTCAGCACAGTCATTTCGTTTCGTCTGTTGCCAATGCGCCACGGGAAGTCTTCATTATGTAGGCAATCATGCGCCTTCTTCACCTCCTTTTCTCTTTCCCTCTCTTTCAAAATGCGTGCCTTACCCCGCCTTTGCGCGTAAAGCACGTGTACCATCCTCGTCATCCACGTGCTGCACATGATTCGGAAGCGCCACCGCCCCTCCACTCCACCCCCACCCCCGGTCGCGCGCGCACGGGGATCCCTCTGTACGCGCGTGCACGGTGTTATTGAGTGAGAGATTGGTCAGTGGGTCACAGAGGGTTAGAGCGGCACGAGGCAGCCCTCTCCTTGCGTCCTAGTCACTAAACCTTCAGCAGACACGTTTCATATCAAGACTATTGGAGGATTGGATTTCCCAAAGCTCAGGCGATGGGAAATCTCTTCTATCGGTTTGAAAAACGATTTGCTAGACTCAATATCGTGTCTCGTGTAGAAATAAGAGCAATGGAACAGAACCAGCAGTGCATAATTCAAATTATAACAAGCTTTGTTTTACATTAATCAGCAGTTTTTATATTTACTTTTTATTCTTTAACAACAGGAATTTGCAATTTTATGCTTTAAAATGACAAAAACACAATTTAAAACGAGAGTACACACAATGACAATGACACAAAAACATTTTATCCAATCCAATCCACTTTATTTCTATAGCACATTTTATAAATACAATAGTTTCCAAAGTGCAGCACAATACAAATAAAACATCCAATAGAAATCTAAAATATAAATAATATATAAGATAAATATAAAAAATAAAGCTCAACTTAACTCCTCTAGTCCTTGTATAAAACTAGTCAAATAAGAGCAAGAATACCAATAAATAATAAAAAGTTAATAAACAAAACATAAATAGAAGACACAGAGGGGCACACAATTCACACGGTGGTAAAAGCCAGAGAATGAAAGTGGGTCCATTGTAAGGGCTGTTCGAAATTGGGGGGGGCAGAGCTTTCCGGAACTTTGGGACCGGCCACAGAGAAGACCCTGTCCCCCCTGGTTTTAAGTCTCGACTTTGGACCCCAGGGGAGTAAATTTGTACGAGATCTGAAACGTAACGTGGGGTCGGTCCATTCAAAGCTTTAAAAACAAACTATAAAATCTTCAAATCAGTTCTAAAACAAACTGGAGGATGCTGCAACGATGCTAAAATCGGTGTAATGTGGTGTTTTAGTAATTTAACTCCCTAAATGCAATCTACAGTACGTGGTTTCCCGTTGACCCTGTGACCTAAAATCCTCGTTATTGCTCCATTACTGTTCCGTGCTCTAATTTCTATCTATCATTGCGGTGTATGAGCTTAATGCGTCCCGATGCCAGCGCGGTAACCGGTGCCGGGTGGCGTGTGTGCGTGACACACGAGCACATGCGAGCCTCGAATTAAAAATAAAAAAGCACTTCACGCCACAAACACGCGATATCTGTGAGGGATCAGATGGGATGCGACGGATAATGTGAAGACCGTGAAGCAAAGGAGGAGTAAAATAAGACTAAACCAGGATTAAGACAAGATATCAAAACGAGACCCGGATTAATCCAGGGCTAAAAGTAGGACTGAACCAGGACTAAACTAAGACTAATCCATCATGTTACAAACCAAGACTAAACAGGCTAAAGCGGGACTAAACCAGGACTATACTAGGACTAAACCAACATATTACAAAATGGGGCTAAGTAGGTTAAATTAGGTCTGAACCAGGACTGAACCAGGACTAAACCAGGACTAAACCAGGACTCACCCTGATCTGCCACATCACCAGTTAATAAATAATGAATCTTAAGTCCATTTTGTGCCATAAAAGTGTGTCCCACTTCAGATGAATGTTGACTTGTCCGTCTATAAAGCATCACTCCGGACCCACGTGATCCTGAATAAACAGCTTTTCCCATCTGCTTTAAATGGCTTCAGTGCTATTCTAAATACACTTTTACATGCTGCTCGGGCACGTGTCCACACTTCACTGAACTGGACTGAACCGGGTCTGGACCAGGACTGGATCAGTATTCAAAACCAAGGCTAAACCAGGACTGAACTAAGACTGAACCACGACTCGAAAGCAAGTTAAACCAGGAGTCAGCCAGGACTGAACTAGGATTAAACCAAGGCTGAACTAGGACTAGACCAGGACTGAATGAATCAAGACTGAACCAAGATTGAACCAGGACTCAAAACCAAGAATTAAAACCAAGACTCCAAGCCAAAACTCCAAATCAAGACTCCAAGCCAAGACTAAAACAAGATTCCAAACAAAAACTCAACCAAGACTAAACCGAGACTAGACAAAAACTCAACCAAGACTAAACCGAGACTAGACAAAAACTAAACCAAGACTAAACCAAGACTAAACCAAGATTCCAAACAAAAACTAAACCAAGACTAGACCAAAACTAAACGAAGACTAAACCAAGACTCCAAACCAAAACTCCAAATCAAGACTCCGAGCCAAGACCAAACCAAGATTCCAAACAAAAACTCAACCAAGACTAAACCAAGACTAAACCAAGGCTCCAAACCAAGACTTAAAACCAAGACTAAAGCAAGACTAAACCATGATTCCAAACAAAAACTCACCCAAGATTCAACCAAGACTCACCCAAGACTAAACCAAGACTAAACCAAGACTAAACCAAGACTAAACCAAGTTCTCCAAACTCTCTGAAACAGAACTCAAGCAGGACTTTGTAAACACACTTTTTACATGCTAGCCCTCAGTTCACGTGTCCAGACACTGGAAGCCACGCCGTTAAAGTCCGCATGAATGAACCGGGGCGGCTCCTCTCTCCATATATCGCACACGCTTTGTATGTAGCATGTTTCAGACGAGGGAGGGGCCGGACAAGGTTTTCCCATGGAGGAGGGAGCGTGTGTGTGTGTGTGTGTGTGTGAAGATGTGTGTGTGTTTTTGTATTGGTTCGCATGAGGCAGTCACATGTTGCGGTGCATGACTTGACAGAAGGCCCAGTATATTCCCAGAGCTTAGTCTGGCATCCCCTCACAACAGATTCTAGGAAGTGGCTACAGGTGGTTCACTGGGATCAGAATGTTTTCGCCCCGATAGGAGGAGCGCGAGAGTGGAAAGGGTGACCGGCCGTGAAAACAATAACTTTATGTAATATTGAAGCAGGAAATGTGGTACTTTTGTAAACGCACTGCAAAAAAGCTTGGACAAAATGTAAGATGTAAACACTTAAATCTATCAGAAAATGACTTAAAAATAGTGAAATGATCTGTCCATGCAGCAAGATACTTTTACTTGACAAGTTATAGACTAGAATCAGAACTAGTAAGTAGATAATAAATCTGAACACAAGACTCTAAACCAAGACTCTAAACCAAGACTAAACCAAGACTTAAACCGAGACTAAATCAAGATTCAAACCGAGACTAATCCAAGATTAAACCGAGACTAAGCCAAGACTAAATCAAGACTCCAAACCAAGACTAAACCAAGACTAAATCAAGACTATACCAAGATTCCAAATAAAAACTAAACCAAGACCAAACCAAGACTCCAAACCCAGACTAAACTGAGACTAAACCAAGACTAAACCAAGACTCCAAACCGAGACTAAACCGAGACTAAACCAAGACTAAACCAAGATTCCAAACAAAAAGTAAACCAAGACCAAACCAAAACCAAACCAAGACCAAACCAAGACCAAACCAAGACCAAACCAAGACTAAACCAAGATGAATAACCTGATA